CACTGTCTTCTTTGATTTGTGAACTACACAAAAACAAATCATTTCAGAATAAATCGGATCAAATTTGACAAATGCTTGGTTTAGAGGAAGTTATTAATACTATTTTAGCATATTATTAGATGTTCTTAGATTAAAATAGAATGTCTTCAGCATATACCAAAAACTTGTTAAAATTTCCAGAACAAAAACAAATTCAGTGCACTCCTTTGACCTGAATGAACCTCATAGCTTTTATTATTGGAATTTCTTTTCGTATAAATTTGTCAATTTTTTGTTAGTCTTTGTGCTAAATTTAGATATTTGAAATATGAAGCTTACGATTTCAAGAATTAAATGAAACAAAGAAGTGTATTATTTTCATTACGTCTTGCTTTAAATATTTTCTGGTCGTACCATCTGTGGTAACTGACTTGAATATTAAAACTAGGGAAATATCATTCATACCTCCATAGCAGAAGAAAGGATGTTGCTCACTACATGGTTCAGTGGTCCAGGTTCCATTTCCCACCAGTACAGCAGCACAATTATTCTTATTGTTAGGTTGTCCTGTTTTCCAGTTCATGAATGTGCTGATTTGTTTGGTTTCTGACCAAAACCAGACTGGAGAAAAACTAAGGCCAATCCACAGTGGTTCATATTCGTTAAGATTATTATTTCGAAATGCACGACTGACTTTATCAAATGTTAGCAGATCAAGGATTTGTGCCAGAGTTGAATTTTTGTTTTCACAGCTGATTTTGGCATCATTCCAAGTCACATATGTCTTATTAACAATGTAATCACTGCCTGTTAAAGAAACAGAAGTTATAGATTCCATTAGTAACATTATACATATATTAATGATTTCATTTATGTTTTGAAAAATAGGCTATGCAGAAAAAAGCTGTGATTTAAATACACCATATAAATCATATGTCAGTACTGCATATATACTTCATTATTATTTTAATGAATATCCATCAGGTTTGAGTTTCACCGTGAGCTTTTTTCCAGTCTCTAACTAGAGTATAAAAAAAGTTGGATTTTTATGTTTTGAGCCTCTTTCTGAACAATAAGTACCAAGGTCAATTTAATCTAGTGGAGTGAAATCTTACAACAAATAATCTTGATTGATACCTACCATTAAAACAAATGAAATAAAACTTGTATTCACATATTTCACTATACCACCCATGGTAATTTGTGAGCCCACAGTACCCAGTGTCAGAAGCCTGTGGTTCTTGGTAGTCCCACATGAAATATGTGGCTTGTGTTCCATCCAGCCAGACCCACCCTAAAGGGCCCACGAGTCCTATCCAGGCTTTGCCTGTGTATCCCCCAGCTGAGGTGTTCATCAGTGCAGTGTTGTTCTCTGGGTTAGTAATTTGGGCAAGTCCAGTGTACTCCATGATGCAGTAAGCGTTGGCCTCATCCCAGGTCTTATTCTCACTGATAAAGTAATAGATGTTTGGAAAGGAAGCAGTGGAGACACAGAAACCTGAAGAATAAAATAGATTTTTATTTGACGTTTTACGAAGAAATACTGTTTATATTTATTCAGAATGTTTGTATACTTGGTACTGCAGAAAATGTTACTTTCTACAGTAAATAATTTCCTCAGTAGATCCTATAATAGGAGAAATATGTCAGTGATGGTTCAACTTGTGGTGTGGATAGAAGACATTTTTTAAATTGTACTTATGTTAGTGAATCTGAACATTTCTAAGTTGATACGCGCTCCTGTGGTATATGGAGTCAGCATTCTATCAAACCATGATTTCTCAAACACAATTAGCTTTTCATTGAGAAAGAAGTGAAGTTAAGCAAGAAAAACATACAACACTATGAAAAAATGCAGGACAGTACTGCAGTTGTAGATATATGAATAATAAATATATTAAGCCAAAATTTCAGTCTACAACTTTTCTGTCCCTGTGTTGTATTATTATTTATTTATTTTTACATTTAGTTAATTCCTTACTTTTTATTTATTTAATTATAGTCATAATGTTGGAGCAACAGCGGTCTTCAAATATCATTTCATAAAACTCTATGCAATATTTGGTCAGTTATTACCTCTCTTTAAAAAAAATCAAGGTAGAAACAATTTCTATTTGGAAAAGAACTGTGAATTATAATTATAATTACATACTGAACAAGAATTTAACAAACAGCACACTCCTGAAATATTACCTGAAAGCATGAGAAGGACTACAAACACATCCATGTTCACTTTGATTAACTGTGGAGAAAAGAAGTTCAGCAGAATTTATAAATTGAAAGCTATAATAAATATACAACATTCACTGTTAGAATGAGAGTGGTTAAAAAACAAAGCGATTAGAAAGGACCGACATTCTTACAGGTATTTAAACATACCACAAAATGTTTTGTGTCTTGTTTTCTTGAATGTTTAACCTGACACTAACTAACTAGCTTTAAATATATAATATAAAAATCTCCTCTATATTTTTGCATTTAGTTAAGGGCCTCGTGTTAATGTTTATACCTTAATATAAAACTCTATTACTACAGCAAATTCAAAAAGAAAGTTGTATATATGTAGATAGATAGATAAAAACTTACCACACTTCTTGAGTTACCAAACATGAACAGCTGCTCGTCACTGTGTGTTCCTTTCTCTCTGAGGTTGCTGTTATAATATAATGCAAATAAGTGGAAAGTTTAAATTTCACTTGTGACACACCCTTGATGACACTGTGAGGCTTTCTCGTGACCCTCCCATATAAACTGTGCTCTCTTTAGAGATTTACAACTTCCATGATTTCTTATGAAAGAATTCTCTTTTTCACATTGGTTATAGTTGATTAATATAAGTATTCACAGCAAGATGTGACGCCGACATAAGTCACATTTTTGTTTGAACTGAGTTTTACCAAAGTAAATTACATCAGTGGTAAAACTCCACATTGTATCTATTTAATAACGTGAAAATTTTATTGAAATTGAGCACTGAAAAAACTTTTAGGAATGTTGCAAGCTTGTGCGGCTGTGCATGCAAACCTCCACTGATTCATTCAAATGTTCAGACCACATAATGTAAAAATCTATTACAAAATCCATTTTACATTACCAAATACGATAGCTGAAATGTAACAATATGAAAAGTCTTCAGAAGCATCACCTGATGTGTGAGGAATTTTGGAGGAAATTAAATTAAATTGGTTTGTAAATAGAGTTTGCATCATTATTTTTTCTTCATTAGGATTTTAAATTGAATCAACTTCAACAATTATTGCTATTATTTGTTTGTTTGTTTTTTAAAATTATTTGGGGGTCACAACCGAGTTTTTTAGTTAACATAAGTAGCATCCGTCCATTGTTTACACATACACGTAAAACTAAGAACTAACAACTAAAGAGTTTGTTGTAGTTTAAACAAGTTATTATAATAATAACTATGATTATGAACATGTAAATATTACATAAGCTCATAGCTGCTAAACATTAGTATTGTTATTGAGTGACAGTTTTATTTCCCTTAAACAAATAAAAGAATAACATTTTTTGATCATATTTGTCATAAAAGAGGCTCACAAGAATAAAAGTAAGACTACTGTGATAGGACCATGATTGCACTTAATTTTTTTACTTAATTGTAGGTCATGAGAATTATGCATATATTTAACGAAATTATTTTATCAATTATCATGAAAGTACAAACTGGAAACTCCAGAATTTTGTTCTATTTGGATAGCACAATCTACCAATATTGTTTTTAAGTACAATTTTTTAATACAATTTTTCATATTTGAGCAGTGCAGCATGAAAGTTGAATGACTTTTTTTTTTTTTCATTTTTGGGATTATTCATTTCATGCTGTAAAGTATTTTGTGCTTTATTTAGCAATTTTGTAAAATGTAACTATATATCATCTAAATATTTTTTATCAATTTAAACTGTTAAACTATTGAACATTTTTAATGTAATGGTCCCAAAACAGCTCTTGATTTATTTTGATGGCAAGAAAGATCAGGGAAAATTTTAGGCGCTTACATTTAGTTTGTGAAATATTAATTTTCAAACATGGTTTGTGTGGAAACAATGGCTTTAAAGTGGGCTGAAAGACCATTTTTCAAAAGAATGTATGCTAAAGTGTTTTATATGTAAAGCCAAAATTTCACAGCGCTCAGTATAAATGTTGACGTTTTGATCATGAAAGGCTTCCTTTTCCTAATCACTTAATTTCAATAAAAAACATCATGACATCCAGAAACTGTGTGGAAAAGACTTTCATAAGCACTCGGGACAGGAGCTTGTGACTGCAGTTAGAGAAGGCTCTTCAATAATGCAATGGAGGATGTTGCTGTCGTGGGTCTACTGCACTGAAACAACATCATGACAAAAAGCCACAAAAAGCTTATGTAGATACTTTGCCATATGTGTATATATCATGTTGTTGCGTGTGGGTTATAAAAGAAAACCACAGATGAAACCACAGATCTTTTAATTAAGGTTGTAATAAAGGAGCATAGTACCCTGTCAGTATGAGATAAGCAGTTCATTGGTTAATGCACGTTTTTCCTTCCTGCTGGAGTAATGATCCAAGTCAATTCTAAATTTGTATGACTGAACGTGTTAATGAATCCCAGGTTTTCTGCAGACACTTTAAGGATAGATTTGGGGGAATGTTTTAGGCCGATTATGAGTTATGCCAACCTCTCCACACTGAACTAAAGAACTGAACTAACTGTGACCTCTGAAAACAGACTGAAGCTCAGTAATATTTCACAGTAATATTTCTGTGCTTGATCTGAATTAATTTGTCAAAGGTATTTATGTAATTTTTTTAAATATTGCTTCCATATACTAAACATAATGAACTTTTCAGTCAACTAGTACTCTGCAATACAAGTAGAGATGTACAATTATCCCCACAGTACTGATTATGCTTCGTCTATTAAATGATAGTAAATACTATGATGATTTGGAGATGTCCTCAAATGTCATTTAAAGGAAAATTCTGCAGTGTTGTGGTCTCATTGGTCAGTTATCGTATCCCTTGAAAGTTCAAGGTGGGAAAGAGCACTGAATTATTACTTGATGAACTAGAATTTAACAAATACCTCACAGCAAGAAAAGTTATGAATGAACACAGAAAATCTTAGACTTGCAAAAGTGTGATGGAAATTTTTACTTTTGAATAAATGCATATCAATGAATGAGCCTGAGGACATAACATCATTAATAAAATGAGTAAAAATGAGTGTGGAGCTTGTTTGTTTTTTCTTAATTTGTTTTTTAATTGTTTATTTGCTTGGTTGAGCTTTTTTCTGTGTGTGTTTGCATTCAAAGCTCCCTTGAGGTATCATTCAAATCCAAAGGGTTGCACAATGCCAGCTCAGACGTAAGAAAAAAGAAAGCTACAACATTCAAATGAGCTTCTACATAAAATCGCCATATATCTAAGCTCTCTTAAGCATATTTCTCTCTCAAGAATTTAGGTGTTGTGCAATTACTGTACTATATAGATTAACGCTGGAGTTTCCTTGTAAAAATGTGCGCTTACATTGAGTTTTCCTCATTGCTAAAACATGGTAGATATTTCATTGTTTGTGATCCAGGTCATTACACAGGTACCTGAGCACTGACAAAACATTCAAGCAACTCGAAAGCTTCAAACCTCCATTAATGATTCATTCAAATGTTTGGACCACAAAACGTCAGTGGTTGAATGTAACAATAAGAAAAATCCTGGTAGTTTAGGATAATCAGCTGCACGATCAAACTGTCTGGCCCTGACACACTGCGTTATCTCGTTAGATATATTAAGTTATTGTAAATGTCTACACAATACCTCATAATAAACAACATATTGATACAATAAAACAATTTCATCTTTAAATTATACCTAAAAACCCACTCAGTTATTCTGCTAAAGTACAGGTTGATTGCACCTCATGTATATTTCTGTCATGCTGCTTTCTACTTCTATTCAACTGTATTTTGAATTAAAGTATCGTACTTTGTGTTCAAGGTTATTTATTTTTAAAACTTTAAGTTTCAAATTTGAAACTACTCAAGCTTAAAAATCCAAATTTGGCAGCCTGAACTCTCTTTGCCAGTTTTCTTGAATTTTCTAGTCTTCAGGAATAGTTCCCCAGGCTTCTTGAAGGACATTCAAAGTTTTTCTTTGAATGTTGGATGTCTTTTCTCCATTAAGATGACCCCACACTGCTTTAATAATGTTGAGGTCTAGGCTCTCGGGAGGCTAGTAATGGTGATCCATGGTGATTGTTTTCTATCCAGGTATTCCAGCATTGTGTTTTGGATCATTGTCATGCTGAAAAATGAAGTTGCTGCCAGTCTGGTGCTTTCTAGTTGTTTTTGTCTGGTAGATGAAAATCTGACTGTACTTTTCTGCATTCATTAGAAGCCACAGGCTGAAATGAAGCCCAGGCCATGACAGAGCCTCCACTGTCTTTCCCTTCTTTAAGAATGGATTCTTGGGTGCCAGTTTATCTCACTAGGTTGATCAGGCGATCACATGCCGCAATGCTAAATGTACCAGCCTGGATTTGAGTCTGACCCAAGGCCCTTTGCTGTGTGTTATCCCTGACTCCATGCTTTCCTGTCTAATCTTCACTGTGTGTTATCCAACAAAATCATGAAAAACTGCCTCTTAAAACATGGGTTCTTGACAGCCACACTTCCACAGACTCCATTTTTGATGAGGATTCAGTGGACTGTAGATCAATTAAAGGGCATCTCTAAGGTCCTATGTCGTCTTGATGTAGTGGTTCGCCCCCTCGTGGCTCTAATGTGAAGTTTAAGTTATGAGTCGATGTGGAGTTTAATTAAAAAATTACAATGTTATTTTTTTCTTTGCAACATTCTCTGCTACTTACCTTTATGAATCTAGTGCTTGAGTTCTGAAGCTGCCCTTCAGGCCAGACTTTTTCAGTCAGGGGTGAAGTCTGCAATATTTCATTGCTTTATTACTGTCTCCGTTCCTACCTGAGGCACTTTGGCAGCAGTTCCTTTTAGGATAAATAACATTTTGTTTTTCAAGAGTGATGTTTCCATGTTTAAATAGAGACACCATGTGCACATTGCTCCATCTAGTGGTAGATAACAACCATTACATCCCCAAAATTTCTGGACATGTACAGTATAAAACCTTTTTTTTTTTTTTATTTAAAAAAAAACAAAAAAACAACACACACAAATTATTCTTCCATTGTTTTTATTTATACTATATCATATTTATATTCTATATTCCTCAGATATTTATATTTATTTACAGGTGGCAGTGCTGCCAGTAGAAGAAACATTTTAACAAAATGGCTGACAAAAACAAATTCAAATTGAGTGCTGGGCTGAACACAGTTTGCCTTTTTCCACCAAACAGGTGGAAAAAGGCAAAAACATTTGTGTGCTGAAAGCATACATATATTTTTTTTTAAAAAATAAAATAAAAATTCCTCTCTCCCAAAAGTGCAAATGTAGTGTTTTTGCTTCAAATAGCCTTATTGACTTTGCCCAGAAATCACTGGAAGGTGAACCAGCAGTTGGCATGGACATGAGTATGAAAACCAAATTTAAACACAAAGCATATAACTGTAGATTTAGCGAGTCAATTAACTGAACAGATGCTTTCGGGGAGGGGGGGGATAATAG